CAAATGCTTTTTCTGCATCAATTGATATGACCATGTGTTTTTTTTCTTTCAATTTGTTTACGTAATGTATCACGTTTATTGATTTGCGGATATTGTACCATCCTTGCATCCCTGGGATAAATCCTACTTGGTCATGGTGTATGATCTTTCTGATGTACTGCTGGATCCGATTTGCTAAGATTTTGTTGAGGATTTTGGCATCTATGTTCATGAGGGATATTGGCCTGTAATTCTCTTTCATTGTGTTGTCTTTACCTGGTTTTGGTATTAGGGTGATGCTGGCTTCATAGAATGAGCTTGGAAGTGTTCCTTCCTCTTGAATTTTTTGTAGTAGTCTGAGGAGGATAGGTTTTAGTTCTTCCTTGAATGTTTGGTAAAACTCCCCTGTGAAGCCGTCTGGTCCTGGGCTTTTGTTTGCTGGAAGCTTTTTGATGACTGCTTCAATTTCTTCCATAGTTATTGGCCTGTTGAGATTATTAGATTCTTCCTGATTGAGTTTTGGAATGTTATATTTTTCTAGGAATTTGTCCATTTCCTCCAGGTTGTCTAGTTTGTTGGAGTAGAGCTGTCCATAGTATTTTTTAACAATCATTTGTATTTCTGTGGGGTCTGTTGTTATTTCGCCTCTATCGTTTCTGATTTTGTTTATTTGGGTCCTCTCTCTTTGCTTCTTGGTGAGTCTGGCTAGAGGTTTGTCAATCTTGTTTATCCTTTCAAAGAACCAGCTCTTGGTTTCATTGATTTTCTGTATTGTTTTTTTGGTCTCTATGTCATTTATTTCTGCTGTAATCTTTATTATCTCCTTCCTTCTGCTCACTCTGGGGTTTTCTTGTTGCTCTCTTTCTAATTCTTTGAGTTGTAGAGTTAGATGATTTACTACCATTTTTTCTTGTTTTTTTTGAGATAGGCCTGTAGAGCTATAAACTTCCCTCTCAGGACTGCTTTCATTGTGTCCCATAGGTTTTGGATTGTTGTGTTTTCATTGTCATTAGTTTCCAGGATGTTTCGAATTTCTTCTTTGATTTTGTTGGTAACCCAATCAATATTTAATAGCATGCTAGTCAGCTTCCAGGTGTTTGAGTATTTTGGGTTGTTTTTATTGTAGTTTATTTCTAATATTATGCCATCGTGGTCTGCGAAGACGCTTTTTATGATTTCAATCTTCTTGAATTTGGGGATACTTTGCTTGTGACCCAATATATGGTCTATTTTTGAATATGTCTTATGAGCATTAGAGTAGAATGTATATTCCCTGGCTTTGGGGTGAAGTGTTCTGAAGATGTCTATTAAGTCCATCTGATCTAGTGAGTCATTTAGGATTGCTGTATCTTTGCTGATTGTTTGTCTAGAGGGCTTATCCAGTGTTGTCAGTGGTGTATTAAAGTCCCCTACTATGATTGTGTTGTTGTCGATCTCTCCTTTGATATCTTCCAGGAGTTTTTTTATGAATTTGAGTGCTCCTGCATTGGGTGCATATATGTTTACCAGGGTTATATCTTCTTGTTGTATTGATCCCTTTAGTATTATGAAGTGGCCTTCCTTATCTCTTGTTATGGCCTTCACTTTGAGGTCTATTTTGTCCGATATAAGTATTGCTACCCCAGCTTTCTTTTCCTTTCCATTTGCCTGAAAGATATTTTTCCATCCTTTCACTTTCAGTCTGTGTGAGTCCCTTCTAATGAGGTGGGTTTCTTGTAGACAGCAGATGTATGGATCATGTTTTTTTATCCATTCAGCCACTCGATGTCTTTTGTTTGGAGCATTTAGTCCGTTTACGTTTAAAGTTATTATTGAAAGGTACTTGTTTGTAGCCATTTCTGTTTTTGTGTGGCTGTTTTCTTTCTGAGCTTTTTATTTCTTATTTTTATACCAGTCCCTTTAGCATTCCTTGCATTGCTGGCTTGGTGGTGATAAACTCCCTTAGCCTTTTTTTGTCTGTGAAGCTTCTTATTTCCCCTTCAAGTTTGAATGATAGCCTTGCTGGATAGAGTATTCTTGGATTCAGTCCTTTGCATCATTTTTTAAATTTCTGTCCATTCTTTTCTGGCCTGATGTGTTTCTGTTGAGAAATCATTTGACAATCTAATGGGAGATCCCTTGTATGTAACTTTCCGTCTCTCTCTTGCAGCCTGTAAGATTCTCTCTTTGTCCTGAACATTTGCCATGGTAATTATGATGTGTCTTGGTGTGGGTCTTTTCGGGTTCACCTTGTTTGGGACTCTCTGGGCTTGTGTGACTTTTTTCTTCCCCACCTCAGGGAAGTTTTCTGAGATTATTTCTTCTAATAGGTTTTCTAATCCTTGTTCATCCTTCTGTTGTTCTGGTACCCCTATTATTCGTATGTTGTTTCGTTTCATGTTGTCCCAAAGCTCCCTTAGGCTCTCCTCCTGTCTTTTAATTTGGAAAATTCAATGGTTTTAGAAACTCCATGCCAAGAACCCAGGACAAAGACCAGACAAAAGATTAAACCACCATAAAGCTCTAGTAGCTGATTTAAAAGGCAGTCTTTCTGCTTCTGGTAGAAATCATCCTTTCCTGGTTGTCCTGCAACAGCTCTGGGGGCTTATTCTGATGGATTACTAATGAAAGGGAAATGGAGGTTTCTTAAACAACATTTGCTTGAGAGACTTAAAGCACTAAGTCAAAACGGTGAGGTATGTGCACAGAATTTCAATAGATGAAAAAACAAACAGGAAACCTTGATTGGTTGGAGAGGAACTGGAAACTTAAGGCTTTGGGGATTGGAGTTAGGTCCTGTGTCTTGCATGTCAGGCGACCCTTAGCTGCCCAGTTCTGCAGAGTCAGGAAGCTATGGAAACGGGCTCAGAAGGTGAACCTGCTAAATTTCATGTCCAGATTCAGAGTATCAGACATATAGACTTGATTATAGAGAAATGCTCAGTTCCCAACCCAAGACATGTGACGTCTGTTTTTCATGGGGAGATGACAGACATGAAACAGGGGCGGGCGGGGGGTGGGGGGGAGAAGAATGAGAGGAAGTCTGTAGACACAAAGAAAGTAAAGGGAAAGCCTAGCTGGATAGTGGGGCCAGGACCCTGGGAAAGGTTGTGTCCTCTCCATCTTCCAGGCCGGGAAGTAGGAAGGGTGGGATTTGTAAAGCTCTCTGAGTACCATATAGGAGTAAGTATCACAATGAAAAGAGTGAGAATTTTCATTAGGTCAGACTTATAGCTTCTCATCCACAGTAATAATAAAAGTGGTGGGATCCCGCCTCAACTCATGATTAGGCTTCAACTTTTAGTAGATCCAAAAGCTGCCCTGCAACTGCTGTCACTGCAGACCTGCTGCTGCCAGTGAAGGGGAAATTCTCCAAAATGATGAACTCCCATAGCAACAGCAAATCCTCTGCTAGCAAAATGCTACAAAAATCATTGTATGCATTCTGGTCCTTCATCAACATAGCTGTAAAAATCCAGGTTAGAGACGGGTGGAGGACACAACCAATGTCACAGCCTCGATCCCTCTTTCCACAACCTAAGAGGAAGAAATGTTTGGTAAGCAGTAGAAAAAAATACACATTTTTCTCTAATATAGTGCATCTGAAATATTATGACACAGCTTAAACAAAGTGGTTCTGTAATACTTGTTGCTATGTCCCATCATTAGCTGGTGTGATATAAATAGCATCACGGACATATAAGTGGCACATCAGGGAAATGACCTATCTCCAGGGGCCAATGAAAAGGTGCCCCTGATTATAGGCCCACCTGAGCTTTGAGGGGGAAGGTCTCCATGACTGGCTGCTGAGTTCCTACCAGTTTTCCCTTGGAAAGAGAACTGGCAAGACTGTATGCATAGTTTGTAAGGTGTGGCTTTCTCTTCTTCTCCATGGTGATTCTAACAGTACTACCTGGCTGTGCTCAGGTTTAAATTCCAAGTGATGTTCTCTGCTATTTGAACTGCATTCTCCATCGTCACCCTCCTCCCACTTTCTGCTGCCTCTGTAGCCAAGCCTCTGGGAAACTGCCTGACAACACTGGGGCAATGACTACAGCAAAATAAAAAAAAACAAAAAAAAACGACCCACTACTAGAAATTATTCTGATTGTTCTATCTGCTCAAGAATTTTGGTGCCCATATCTTAGATACTAATTATCAAACAAGGATGTGAGTCACATTTTCACATGGATATTTGAAATAATACAAAAGAGTTTCTAAATTCTCCTTCAAATAGATCAGGGGAAAAAAACCACATTTTCCAGAAGGCACAGTTACAGGTTGTCAGATGAAATTATAAAGTGTAGGAACTGCCTCAGATGAACATTACAATGCAGCTGACAGTGAATACAACTTCCTTCTGATTTTGTTCCGGGTAAAGCGAAGTCCACTCTGGGCTTTGCCGCTTGAATGTTGTCCCTCGTAAGCCCCAAGGGTGACAAGCTTTGATCACCGGTTTTCCTGAGTGGAGAGTATTTTCCACACTTTTTGATTGACTTGTCTGCTGCAGCGCCTGCTGGCCAGGCTTTCTGTGGTGTGACAAATACTTGTGTTCTAGTTTCTGTGGTGTGACAAATACTCGTGTAGAAGTTGTCTCAACTGACTTAAATCTAAGTATTTACTTTAACATTGAAATAATAAAAAAGATTTAGTGTGAACAGTAAGACACTCATGTATCGTAACAGCCTCAGGAATCATTTGCCCTCAAGAATCATTTTCTAAAATTAGCTCTTGTCACATATCCAAGAAAACTTTGTCCAGTTTGCATGAGAGAAAGGCACCACTCCCACTGAACTACTCCCTTCACAGCCTCATGGGCTCCTTTGGCAAATGACCCCCTTTCTATTCTTTCTTTCTTTGTCCTTTTTTTTTTTTTTTTGATGGTTTCCTCTTTATTGATGTGCCTCTTACCTTCCCCTCACAATTTCATCCCCTTCTATCTACCCGACAAAAAGATAGTGAAAGGGAACCAATATTGGGTTTCTGAGCTGTTTGGGCAGTTAGAAAAGGAACAGAAACCAAAACAATCACTGGATGTGACAGAGATCGACAATCAAGAAATCTAAAGCAGAGTGGGAAAGGTGGTAGAAAGAAGAAGGCAGGAGAAAGGAGAGGTACCAGAGGCCATCTCCCCCATGAGCCTCCTGCTAAGAGGGTCTGGAGAAGAGCCTCAAACATTAGGAAGTACAGGTCCTGAAGGAAGAAGTCAAGGAAGGGGGGGCCATCTCTCTCTATGTAGAATGGGACCCCCCCACTGCAGGTGCAGCAGCTTCACAGGCCATAGACACTATTGTCGCTGTAGGCAATGTATAGAAAGAAGTCTTCTTCATGGTGTTCCTGGTACAGCTGACCCATCGTGGCACTGGTGGGTGGAATGACATTGTTGATAAAGAAAAACAAGGCATCCTCAGCTCGGAGGTGAATTCGCTTCCGGATCAAGAAATAGAACTGCCCAACTGTGAGATCAGAGGGCACCAGGTATTTCTTTTTGTCCAGGTCTCCTATCCGAGCTTTGGGAGCCTTTTCTACTGTCACCAGGACCAGGTCCGGGTATTCCTTTCTGATCTTCTCGCCCTCAGAGCGGCGCTTCTCGAACGGATGCTCCTCTTTATACACGAACTTCTCCCGGGAACCGGGCTGGACCGGACTGGGCTGAGGGAACCCAGGGAGGGGGGACCCGGGACAGGGATGAGGGGTGGGGGGTGGGGGGTGGGGGGTGGGGGGTGGGGGGATGGGGGGGTGGGGGTGGCGGCGGCAGCAGCGACGGTGACGGTGACGACGCGCAGGCGGATTCCCGTCTTTTTTTTATAAAAGAAAGCCTCCAGTCTGCCAAATGCATACCACTGAAGGTCCACTCCTTAATTCAGTCCCTCTCTGATCCCAGCCCATGCTCAAACCAGAAGCCAGAAAGAAAAAGGTCAGCCCAGGTCCCACAGAGCTTGAAGAGAGGGCAACCCCATTCTCCTGCAGGGCTGGGGAGGGGTCAGAACTGCCAGTTCATTGTTGGAAGCTCAATGGCATGGCCAGTGCTGTGAGCCCTGAAGGCCAGCATCTCCTCCAGGCTCAGGCCAAGCCTCCCTGTGACTGGGAGCCACTGTACTCCAGAATGGATGTAGCAATCTCATGAGCTTGCTTGGCTAAGGCAGAGTTTAAAAAATGTGTGCCAGGGCTTCTGGTTAGTTTAAAATTTGGATGTTTGAGTCATCTCAGTGGGAAAGAGTATGAGCTACTCAATGGCTGGACCACATATAATCAATTTTGTATTCCAAAAAGCACAAGGTAGGCTGTTTCATGTAAGATTCCTAATTAATATTTCTGAAGTAAATGAAATGAATGACTGAAATTAAAGTAAAACAAATGGAACTGCCTGGACAGGCTCTTGGCTGGGTCAGGAGGGAGAGGACGCAACGCTTGCTGTGCTGCCCAGGCCATGAGTGGCTGGGTGGCTCCAAGCACATGGAGCCAGCAGTTGCATGGTTAGGTCAGCATCCAGTGCGGTGAAGGGAACTAACAGCAGTCCTGTCAGACCCTGCTGTGTAGCAGATGTCTACTATGTAACAGGCCCTTACCTTGCAACTCATATTTACTCTCATTTTAATTATTCATTCTCAGTTTAATCTTTAAAACAAACCTCTTCGTAAAAAAACCTGAAACTCTAAGTGGTCTCCTTCTTGTATGTTGTTACAATATCCCCATCTTTCCCACTATATCACAAAGTCAGGAGGGGTTGCACCATGCCTAAAAATTTTATGAGATTTTTTTTTTTCTCTGCCACAAAATATGATGCCAAATTTCAGGCTAGCTCTCTAAATTGATTAGACCAAGTGATTCCCTAACATCCCGTTTTCCCTAATATCCATATTTTTGTTTGCTGGAGAAGATAATCTCCCCAGTTACACTTCAGAATCCAGAATCCACACCTGCCATGCTCAGCAGTGCCCGAGGGAGCTTAGCCTTGGCACAACCACCAATGGGCTTTTGCCAGGCAGAATGAGCTGCCAATTCACTGACCTTTCCAGAGAGGCTACCGGTGTGAAGGTCCATGACCTCAAGGAGTTTGTTATGTAGGTAGGAAGACTGCTTTGTTGCCCTGTCCCAGGACGGGTGAATGTACAGAGCAGTGGAATGGATTTGAGTAATTCTGGAGTGCTTCAAAGGGAAGGGAACCAGAGCTGGACATTAAAAGACGCAAGGGTATGAAGGGAGACTGTCACAGACTGGTGACTGGTAGTGAATGGGCTCAAGCTGAACAAGGGTGAGATACTTTTATGAAGATGATGGCATTAATTTCTGGGCAAATAATTTCAGTTGTATAAGATTTCTCCTTCATGGCAGGGCAGATGGAAAATAATTTAAAAGGCAGACTCACATATGTGAGCCCCTCTGGGTGGCTTCTGGCTTTCAGAACTTTCTGCAATGAGGTGGCAGGTGCTGTTAGGGCAGGGGGAGGAAGGCATGATTCCAGAAGCCTATTATTGGCTGTACAGAGACAACACAGCTGCCTTCTAGCTAGGGTCTGCTGGCTTCTGGAAACAGTATCTGTCTGCTTTGGACACAGTGGCCTGTTTGTTTTATGATAATTAGCATTCAAATATTTACACTTTATACCAATAATGTGCCCAGGCTCATGATTGAAGCTGTAAATTAGCTTTGGTACTGATGCTTAATAATAAAACAGATGGAAGCTTGCATACCTGCCATTGAGATTTGAAAGTTTTACTCTGATTCCTCAAACATAAGTGGGCTTTTTGGTCAAAGTGTAGGTAGCTGGCAGGTGGCTCTAACAAGGAGACCTCTGTATCAGGAGAAGCCACCCTTTCTTAGGAAAAGCACATCTCTCTCACAGCCTAAGAGGGGCACCGGCATCAGTGTGGGCCCACATGGTGGGCATGTGATGGTGAGGATGGACAGGCACCATTCCTGGCCTACACTTGGGGGTTACAGACTGAGAAAGATGGCTATTCATTAAGAGGAGTAAAGGCAATGGATGATTGACCAGGAAGCCCTGGGGTCAGACAGCCTGTTCAGATCCTTGTCAGCTGTGTGATTTTGGATGAAACCTTTGTGCCTCAGTTTCTTCATCCAGTGTGAGTCATAACACTGCCTAGATCATTGCTGCTTCATAGAGGAATGAATCAGGTGTTGTGTGATTTGACGGACATGGCGACTGGCCCAAAGTGAGAGCTCAATCGATGTGATTTCTCAGTCCAGCCTATGAAATTCTGTTAAAGAAGTGGTATAACAAGCGTGGATTTCACTGCATGTGTTTACAGTGGACAGTTTCCCAGTAGGCAGCCCTCTCTTTAAATGAGCCCAAATGACGGCCCTGGTGTAGATGAGCACTAACCCTGACTCAAGCTAGTAAGACTACATGATCCCTGTAAACCCTGCCTGAGTGAAGACCTCTCTCTGGTGTTTCCATCATGGAGTTAGTGCCTGACAAGTAACTTCTAATGGCTTCATTGTGTTAGTCAGCTTATTATAATTATGCTACTATAATTCAACAAATATTAGTAAGCCTAATGTAAAGCTGAATATATATTATATGATGCTTTGCCCTTAAGTAACTGAATTAAGTTCTTGGGGAAATTTAAATTTAAATTTTGAATAACAAAAGAATGGACAACAAGTACAGTACAGATAAAAATTCCAAAATCTCTCTTTAGTCCTGACAATAGGCTTCTGACGAAAGCACAGAGCAGAGAGGGTGTGGGGAGACCTACTTTCCTGTTCCAGAGACAGTCTTGTGGGGCACTGGTTTCTCCATCGAAAAGAAAGTATTTTGCCAACTGTAATTGCAAAATTAAAAAAATATATATATTAAAAAAAAAGAAAAGAAAGTGTTTTAGGTGGCAAGAGCAGCATCTTAAAAAAAATAAAAAGAGTCCTGGCCGGTTTCGCTCAGTGGATAGAGCGTCGGCCTGTGGACTAAAGGGTCCGGGGTTCGATTCCGGTCAAGGGCACATGCCCAGGTTGTGGGCTCAATCCCCAGTAGGGGGTGTGCAAGAGGCTGCTGATCAATGATTCCCTTTTATCACTGATGATCCAGTTTGTTCTCACAACCAGGCTGCACATGACTTTATCAGTAATACACATATTATGTCAGCCTCCATCTGTGTGACGTTATAGTACCAACCAAAGTGCTGGGCAGTTGCTTCAGTGCACCCCAGATCCTACGGTCTGGGAACTGTTTAGAAGCCCCTTTCATGTTGAGAAACATGAGTCACAGTGAGGTTATCTAAAAGTCCCACCATTTTATTATGTGTTGGAGCTAGGATAGTACCTGGCATTTTTGTAGGCAGTCAAAATGAGGACAATGAGAATGTATGCTCTCCTTATCTCCCAGACTGTTGTAAAGAGACAAGGAAAAATGTGTTAGTGAGAACATTTTAAATTTAGATGGTCTAAAAATTCATTCTGTTTTCATGATATGAGGGATTAACATTAGTTAGATTGAATTATTATGTCAAAGTAATCTTAGCTGATTGTTTCATGAAATAAGTGTAAGTGAAAAGACGATCCCAGTATACACTAAAATATCACCTTGGCAGATGGAGAGGTGCCAGGGAAAGTCATGCCCAGGTCAACATGTTTCTGGGCAAGTGAAGATGGTAGCAGTTTGCTTTGCAAGGCTGTTAAGCAGCATTAGTAATGCAGCCTTAACACTCCTGAGGTTGGTTTTTGGATAGAAATATTAAAATCTTACTAAGAGAAAATGCAAATTTGTTAAATGACCCAACAACATGCTGCTTACATTTGCCAGAGAAGAGGGTAAGCCAGCCATGTCTTCTTGGGCACGTGCTCTTGACCAGAATCGAACCCAGGACCCTTTAGTCCACAGGCCAACGCTCTATCCACTGAGCCAAACTGGCCAGGACTCTTTTTATTTTTTTTAAGATGCTGCTCTTGCCACCTAAAACACTTTCTTTTCTTTTTTTAAATATATATATTTTTAATTTTGCAATTACAGTTGGCAAAACACTTTCTTTCCAATGGAGAAACTAGCGCCCCACAAGACTGTCTCTGGAACAGGAAAGTGGGTCTCCCCGCACCCTCTCTGCAACAGAAGGCTTGGGATGGGAGAAATATATTAATTTTTATATTAAAACACATATAAACACATATTATGAAGTCAAATATAAAATCAACTTGAAGATTTAATATGAAACTTCAAAGAAATTTCTCACTGTGGAGCTTTCAATTTGCCCTTTATCAACTTAAGAAATGACCAAACCTGTAGAGAATTTTTATGAGTTTACTTGGGCCAAACTGATGACAATTACCAGTAAGCAAAATCTCAACAAACTGAGAAAACGCTCTGGAGAATGGCACTTTGTAATTTATTTTATACATTACAATCAAAGGAGGAGGCATAAGGAGGGTTACATGAAATCCATTGCTGGTAGATTAGGGAAGTGGGAGAAAGCAACACAGGGAAAATCTAGGGTTGGATAAAAAAGTAAATTAATAGACATGTGCTTCTTTTACATTTGTGGGGACAGGATAGTGAACAGTCAACAATTAACATGATAATACTAACAATGAGGGGATTTGTGGTCTCTGTGCTGAGGTTGTGCTTTGAGGGTTGGGGGTGGGGAAGGGAATTACTTTGATATTTCAAAGGTATGTTATCAGGTATATTATCTTAGATGCAAAAAGACAACAGGCAGGTTCAGTTAGGTTGAAGATTGAACTCTGTTAGGGCAAAATACTGCCCTAGGACATGACTATCTGCCACAAACTACTTGTAGTAAGGAAGTTTTAATTTGAGATCATCCTATGTGGTTACTTTCGTGTCTGAGTTTGTAAGGACGTCACATAGGCCTGCCCCCAGCTTGTCAGGTTTAGTGAGTGGCCCGCATTTTCGTCCTCAGCTTTGAGCTTTCAAAACTGAATGTTCTCCATCCTCAGAATTATCCCTACAGAAAAGTTTGAGCAACTGGGGTGAGACTCAAGAAAAAGGCCCACTGTGGATGTTAGAATAACCTAGACATAGTTCAGATGTTTTCTCTCAAATATGCTTCTCTAGTGTTCATTTCTCAAAGCATGTAAAAATTTGCCATATTATGAAACAATTTCTAAAGTTTCTAACTCTGAGAATTAGCTCATCCTTATAATAGTGCCTAATTGCCAACACACCCTAGTTAGGGCCAGTCATCCAGTCACAATTCCCACATGAACAACAGCATAATATGTTTTGAATATGTGTGCATTTTTACATGTGACAGAATAGTGATCTTGCATTACACACTAACCTATTACTTTATTTTGTCATCAATTCTATAGGCAGTTAGATATTAATAAAAGAAGGGAGCAAAGGGTATTAGACATTATTTGGCATGATAGTCTAGGGAGCAGAAGCCTGCTTGTTTTACCAGGAAGGTATAGCTTCAGATACTCTCAGGAAACCACCGGTCCATTCCCCGCAGATCACTGGGTGAATGGATAGAACTAAAAGGGGGAGATGAGCACATGCACAGTAGGAGTGAAGCTGGAGACCATAGAGGCCTGTCAGTCTAGCCTGGAGAAAGAATGGAATGGAACATGGTGCAGACAGGTCAGAGTGAGGGTGAGGGTGTGAGTGGGTGAGTGTGTGTGAGGGAGAATGTGAGTGGGTGTGAGTGTGGGAAGGCATCTGTTTGTGGGAGCAGGAGTTCAAGGGGGGCAGTTGGGTGCTCCTGGTAAAAGAGCAGCAGGTCGCTGTGTGTTGCTGGGCCAGGCACTTCTCTCCACCTGAGAGTAGAGAGCTAGCCATTCTGATGGACATCCTCCTTGCGAGGAGGCTACGTGAAGCAGCCCTGCTCCAATGCCCCTAAGCCACAGACAGACAGACCACAGGTAGGTGGATACTCATGGCCCCGCTATTGGGACCCGAAGCCCCCGGACACACAGACCAGTCATAGCAGCTTGGTGTGCCTGAACTGTGGGCCTCAGAATACTGCCTAGCTGCCTTGACCAGCAGTATGTGGGGCCTGCCCCGCCATATTGGTGAGCAGGGCACCTGGCCCACCCCACCCTGTGCCATAGCAGAGCAGCACCCAGCC